TAAGAAGCGAGTTCCAGACCTGACTCGATGAACAGTCACCTCAAGAAAGAAATTCTAATTAAGCAGAAAGTGAGTGCATGAGGAATGGGAAGCACAGTGTATCAGCAAGGAAACCCCAGGCTGATCTGTGCAGCAATAAAGCCAGCACTGCTAGAAAATAAGGAATATACAGCCTTGCGGAGCACACCAAAGCAAAGAGGAGGAAGTCCTCGGGTGTACAAATAAAAAGTGAATCCGGAAGAAACAGACAAGGCACGCTGCTGTAAGGATGAATAAGAGATAATGGAGATGGGATGCCCACATTAACAATACATTGCACTGTTTTTAATCAAAATGAAGATGGAAAATGAGGCGTGGAAATTATTGCAAGTGCACTGGAAGCAAGCTGAAAGAGCTTGCTACAATGAAGTCAGATTACTGTCATCTTATCAAAGAAAATGTCACTTGAAATTAAAGGTCTGGTCGTGAGTGTTACGTGGCACTTACGTTTAGCAGTGAGCAAAAATGATACACAGAAGTTGGCGTACAGAAAGAAGAGAATGCCTTTGACAGCCAAAGTGCTGGAAAAATGATAAAAATGAGTAAGAGGAACTACTGAAAGAAGCAAAAACCCCTTCTGCTGCAAATTGGTATCTCACCAGTTGGAAACAGCTGTAGCAGAGAAGCTGAGTGTGGAGATGCGAGTCACGGGTACAGTCCGGCTGCTTCTGCAGGTGCCTGCAGCCCTGGCCCGTGTGGCAGCTTTACAGGGGGACATGCAGAGGAACCAACCCTGTTGTCAAAAATGCTGCCGAGACTGAAATACCGCAGGGTGCTCCGGCCACTGGAGCTTCACCCAAGCCAGGGCAGGTGTCTCCCACCTTCCTGGGAGGTGATGTTGCATCTCCATCTCCTGGCCAAAGGCTGAGCTGCACAGGCTCCTGGAGGGAGCAAGGCAGGGGAGGGATCCTCTCCTACAGCAATCCTTTCCCAAACTCCTGGAATTTGTGCCCCAGGGTGATTCAGAACTGGTTATGGGATCTCTGTGTGCAGCAGTTTGTCACAGAAAAATAATGGCAGGAAAATCCTCCCCCTTTAGAAACTCACATGAACTTTTAGCATCCAGGTGGCGTGCAGCAAGGAGCTCCACAGCTGGCCTGAGCGTTGTGTTGCGCAGTCTTGTCTCTACTGAATTTGTAATCCAGTAACTTCATTCAGTGCCTCATTTTTACCAGAAGGGACTATAAATGATCATTCCCTGGCTATCTCCTCCATGCTGTTCACGGAGGAAAAAACCTCTGTGTGTTTGTAGTGATGGTAACAGCCACGGCCACATCATCCTGTCCTGGAAATCTGTCCTGTGGCAAGGAGGAGGGCTGTGCCTCTGGGGGACTTGGATAGTTCCTTCCAGGTCCCATCGTGACACAGCGTGGGCAGGCATGGGCCACTGGGCATCCCTGTTGGGTGGCATGGGAGACTGGGGCACAGTGACGCCTGGACTGGGGAAAGAGCCACAAGAGGCATCGGTGACAGGGACAGGCAACAGCCGGGGGAGCGTGCTGCTGGGTCTGAGGCTGCTCCCTGCAGGGGAAAGGACGGTTCACATGGGCGAGAGGAGATGGATCCATCTCTGGGTTTCTGTAAGGAGGCAGTACTTGGGTCAGAGGGTGCTGGGAGAAGACAGAAGGTGGAAGTCAGGGAGGAAGGAAAACCCAAGCAAGACCTGTTGTTTAGCTCCTGCTACGGTGAGGCCAGAGGCCTCGAGAGGGTCGCTGCTGTGTTGTTCCTGCCAGAGCCTGTGAGTCTGAGACACGAGACCGCCCAGCCAGAACCAGGAGGGCAAACCCGACCCTTGCACAGCTCTGTTTCCAGCTCCTGTTGCCAGGCTGGGTGAGCAGGGCTGGCAGGCACCATCCTCCACCCGGCCGACCAGGTCCTCTGGCAGCTCACAGGACAAGGCTCGCAGTGTGAGGGACACGAGCCTGCCCCTCCAGAGGAGGTCGCGCAGCCCTCTGTGCACATTTGTGGTGGTGAGGAGTTCAAGTGAACACAAGTGGAGCAGGTCCCGAGCTGGGATGCGTCTAGGCGCTGCGCAGCGCGGACAGAGCACTCTCTGCAGAAGGGTGAAAGCTGTAACTCTGGCAGCTCACAGGACAAGGCTCGCAGTGTGAGGGACACGAGCCTGCCCCTCCAGAGGAGGTCGCGCAGCCCTCTGTGCACATTTGTGGTGGTGAGGAGTTCAAGTGAACACAAGTGGAGCAGGTCCCGAGCTGGGATGCGTCTAGGCGCTGCGCAGCGCGGACAGAGCACTCTCTGCAGAAGGGTGAAAGCTGTAAGCAATGTGGACGGGAACACAGAGCTCCCGGGAGCCGGGCAGCGCCCCGGGATAGACGCCTTTGACAATGTTGATACAGGCTGCACGAAATCTCCCCCGTCTGGACTCTGGGATTTGTTCAAAGAACTCTCACAGCTTTGTAAGAGATAAGTCTCCTTCGCAAAATCCGCCTTTCCTATTGTATCGCATTTACCTATATGGCCATTAATTGGATTCTTTAGAAGAATCTCTATTAATTTGTGGTGTGTAGTTATGAGACTCAGTGGTTTGAAACATTAAAAAATGAGATCACATTAGCGACCTTCCACTCTTCTGCTATCCAGTGCATTTTCAAGTGAGCGATAACACATCCTGGTCAGCAGTTCAGCTGTTTCATCCTTGCATTCCTTGGTTGCTCGTGGGTTAATGTTATGTGGTCCTGCCAATTTGTTACTATCTGCTTGGTTGGTGTTTTCTAATCTCTTCTGTACAGCTTTCAACAGGAGACTGATCCTCCTTTATGTTCTGTGTAAAGGTGGATTCAGGGCAGGGACCATCCCAAGCTCTGTACAGTAAACACCGATGCAGAGGAATTATCTGGGCACTCCTGTTACACCTGCACCATGTGCCAGCCCCGCAGAGGGCTGAATATTATTTCCTACGCCTTTTGCAATGTGTGACCCACCCTTTTTGAAAGATGGGCTTTCTGGTCTTAATAGCTTCTCTTCTGTCATTTACTCATCCCGGGTATTTTCTGGTTTGGGGGGTTTTGGGGGATTTGGTTTGGGTTTGGTTTTTTTTATGTCTCTCTGTGAAGTTGTGTGCATTTGCTCTGAGCCTCCAGTATGGTATTTCTGAACACTTTTCATGCCACATGCAAAGGTTTTCCACTCTTTTACTACTTCTTCGTTCTTACTTAATTTACCTGGTTTGATATTAAGCAGAAGATTTTTGATCTTTCCATTTTACGTTGCTCTTTGGGGGGTGCGTATGCCGAGTGTAAGTATCCTGCTTTCTCCAAAACAACATTATGGACCATAGCAACTGCATACCGCTGGGGAACAAGCCAAGAGCTGGTCTCCCTACTGAAAGTTCCCCAATAGCTGTCTTGTGAGGTAAAGATTGATGAGGTCCCAGCACACAGTGCCAGTATCTTGTCCTGAAATGACATTTACTTGAGAATAATCGGAATCTCCCATTGCAATTGCTCTCCTGCAGTTGCTGTGATTTCATCCTGCTCTTGTCGAAGTCAGGAACTTGCTTTAGCAGCTGATACCACAGCCCTAAGCTGGCACGTCCATCTGTGAAGGTTCTGTTTTATTTAACACAATTTGGCTGCTAATCTTCACTATAGCAAGAGTAAAAGAAGTAGCTGATGTCTGGGATGAGCAGGAGCCTGTGGAGCCTGCTCTGTAAGAGCAGCTTCCCTGTTTAATCTGGGAAAATAAAGGTTGGGAGGTGGTTACTGTCTGTAGATACATGGGGGGAGAGATAATTAAGTTCCAGTTTTGGCACAAACAACAGGTAGGGTTAAACAGATAAGGAAAATACGCAGAGTGGCAATTAGGGAAAGTTTTTCCCCAGCTTGGGCAAAACCAAATTTATTTTAAGGTGGAAGGTAGGAAGCTCCCAGAAAAAAATCCCAAGACATTGTACTGTGAGAGCAGGGACTGGACTTGCTGAGCAAAGGATGCGTGAGCTTCTGCCACCACGCACCCTAGATGGCAGGGAAAAGACAGAAAGAGTCAGGAATTGCACCTCATCAGCCTTCCTGTCCTGCGGTATTCCCGTGGGGCTCTGGAGACCTCTGCTCCTCAAGGCAGTGCCCAGAATCTCCATTCCTCACCCTCCTGCCTGCCCAAGCGGGTTCATCACACGTTGCAGATGTTGAGGACCTGAGAAGGGAGCTCCCGCCAAGGCAAGGGAAGGGAGCAGGCGAGCAGGCGTGCCTTGACGTCCCCCCCATCCTTCCGTGGAAGGCGTGCTCGCAGGGTGCTGTGCTAGCCAAATGCTGAGCTAGAAATTCTGCAACACCCTTCAGTGCCCCGTGCTTCGTATCTCATCGTCCCACAGCCACACCACCTCCTGGTGTCGCAGCTCTCCTTGCCACTGCCTGCTCGACACAGACCACGCGCACCGCAGCACCCTCCGCAGGGACGGACGAGATGGGGAGCTGGTGCTCTCCAACGCACGGATGGGATGGGGAACGGGAAACGGTGGTTCCTTGGATGGGCAGAGAGCACTGGCAAGAGGAAGCTGGCGAAGAAAAGGCCTGAAACGCACTGCTGTGCTTTTTAGGCAGGGATGGTTCCTTGGATGGGCAGAGAGCACTGGCAAGAGGAAGCTGGCGAAGAAAAGGCCTGAAACGCGCTGCTGTGCTTTTTAGGCAGGGACCAGTTGCTGCTCTGCATCCTTCATAACACTAAGGAAAACCGGCTGATATTTCTTGTTCATTGTTTATATTTTCATACAGTTTGTTACATCACCGATGTGACCATTTTAGGGTTGGGTGGTTTTTTTGTAACTATGTAATGAGTACATTCACCTCTACAAGTAATCTCAGACTTGCATAATTCAGAGGAAGTTTTAACGACATAAATTGGGTCACAATACCTCGCCCAAATGTTAAAATCAATGCTAGGTATTTTGGCACTCTGTCAACTAAAGTTACATGTATTTTGGTTTATTTTTTTCCTTTTTTCCACAGTTTCACCTGGCTTTGCAGCCAAGTCCACACCGGTCTGGTGACTCACTTCCGCGGTCAAATTGTTGCAGAGTTTGACAAGGAATTCCGGTACTTGTATGCAGAGTCCAGAGCAGTGACCAGCTTCTGCCTGCCAGATCCTGGAACGTGCCCCTCTTCCCAGAATACCTCCAAAATTGCCAACTCCCTTTTAAAACCCCCTCAGGTGAATGATGCTGAAACCTCGAGCCCCTCCAGCAGCCTTTCCAATGTAAGCATCAAAAGCGTAAAAATGTCTCCCTTTATGAAAAACTCCAGCTGCAACGTGCACCAGGAAAAGCAAGATTCAGGCTCCGATTCTGGTAATAAGAAGGGGAAGGAGGACACATCTCTGAAGCCCGCTTGCCCTAAGCAGCAAGGAGAACCACCAGACTCACTGAACAGTCCTCCAAATAAATCCACCCCAGCCTTGTATCACAAATCAAATTTAATGCCAGGAAGGACATTCTTGCAGCCGGAGCCTTCCCCTGCCCTGAGCTCCAATAAACCCAGTTACCACGGGGCCAGGAAGGCTGACGACAGCAGCCACGGCTCCCCGCTAAGGCAGGAGCAGACGCTGCAGTCCCTTTCAGAGGGTGCCAGCAGCAACGGGACGAGCATGAAGCAGAAAGGGGCTGCTGCTAACTCCGGGGAACCGACGGCAGAAAATGTCAATGCTTTTTATGAGATGGAAAAAAGACAGAGTCCCGGACACGGAAAATTGGACCTGGTATCCCCATACAACCAGCTCAAACGAGATCAAAAACCTGTAGTTCCTTGCGATGATAAACTCACGGAGGACATGCTGATGGAAAAGAACAGCAGATACGGGGCTGAGAAAAGACTGACTCTCGGGCACAGTAAGCTGGATCTGATCACCAAGTACAATAAGTTAAAATCTAAACACATACACAGTCGGTTCGAGCTCTGACCTGGGCTTTGAGGTGTGCTTTGGTCTCATTTTCAAGTGGTTGCTTTTCCCCACCATTCATCACATCTGGGGCTTGCAATTAAAAGATTGGTGGCAAACTAGTCTTGTTCCTCTTAAAAGGTGTCTGTGCTGTTTCTGGTACATGCAGGTGACTGATTCACGTGAGATTAGCGGGTACAGTTCACATTTTCAATCACAAGATCACGGCAGGAGAGAAAAATAACACAAACATAATCCCCACTTCTACGTTCTTTTTACCCATTTGGGAAGGAATCGTTTCCCCCCAGTGTTACAGCAAAACCCTCGTGACAGCTGGAAACGGGCCAGTGAGCCATCCAGGGTGAGCCCCGGTTCTCTCTGAACCCAGCGATGCCTCTCCCAGTATCCACGGGCTGAAGACGAAACGGTGAAAGTGAAAAATAAAGGAGCTCTGCAGCCAGAAAGAGCTGGGCTGGGGCCCTGGGGGACGAGCTGGGCAGGAGGATAGGGACAGTGTGTCCTGGCACGAGGGTGACACCTGCA